CAATCCAACAAACCTCATTTTCTTTCGTTTATAATTTTTGTTACGTTGACGTTCGAATGTTAAAAAAAAAAAGAAACAAATACAACAATAAAATTAACGGAACTAATGTGCACCGAAAATAATTAAATTAATTAAAAAAAAAACAGTTACAACAAAATTACATACAGGAATAGAAGATATAGTATAGAAAGGAAAATATTAATAAATACTGGCTAATAATATGAACGGACAATTAATTAATTACTTGATTGCGTTTCCGTAAATATATATATTTTTTAACGAACATATAGAAGTGTTTGATTAGACGACTAACATGTATTGGTAATGTCGTAATTACAAAAAACGATTGCAACTAAACTACGATTTTTTTTATTTCTTAAAAAGCTAATAACGTACGTCGTTTTGCCATTTTAAAAATATTGTTCCATCTGCTTTTTTTTTACGCTATCTATATGATAAGAAAATATAATTCTTCCGGAAATGGTTTTGTAAGGTAGACGGCCCGTCATCATCATCATTATTTATCTACAAACTATTAGGCAATAAGCTACACTTACAGACGACATACAATGTTGTTTTCTTAATATGATTATCGTGTATGTTACTTTATACTTTTTTGTGTTTGTTTTTTGTTAATAATTGGGGGTTTATATGATATATCGTTTTGCGGATCGCAGTCCCTTCTTCTTCATTAAATTATCGATTGACGAGTACGTTCTTCGACGACCTCTCACACACACCATATACATACTAATATGCACCCATGCACCCCCTACCTACAAAAATCTAAACGCTAATATTTACCTAACAATTAATTAGGTTTTTTTATTTTTCACCCTTCTCTTCGAAAAATATTATTCGGACAGTGCAAACTCAACAAGAAGACTCTCTCAAATAATTAACATTATACTGATATGTTCCTGTTTTGTATTTGTCAAAATTTCCAAAGGACGAATTGGAAAAATTAAAAACAATTATTATTATTATATTGCTGCCACTATTGTGTGTAGGGAACTATTGTTTTTTTGAGTCTAGTTCTTGAATTTGCAGTTAAAACAAATGCAAAAAATCATTGCATTGTAGATATTAAAATTAAGACGAATTGATATTTATGCGTACACAATTACCTGCGATTACTTATAAAAACAAGTTGGTCGTATTAAAAAAAAAAAAATAATAAAACTAAAATCATAAAACGTTAACCGATCGCTATTAACGATAAGACTCGCTCAACATTTATCACGTGTGTATATCGTAATCGTCGACTTACAATTTGCCGCACTTCGAAATGAGGATATTTTTGGTCGGTTTTCCGGCGTTGTCGCCGTAGGTGCTGATTTTCTCGACTAACTCTAAGCCCTCGACGACGTGGCCGAAGATGCCCGTGAAGCCGCGCATCTCCTGCAGTATAATGCGAAACTGAGATCCCACCATGCCCAAGTTGTCGTGTCTTTTTTGCGTTCGTCTCATGCCGACAGTGCCGCGGACCGCCAGCAACTTTGTATCGTCCGGTAGAAAAAACGAATCTTCGAAAATCGATCGACCTCCGCGACCGTTGTTCAATTCGAAATCGCCTGTGATCACGCTCTCGCCCTCCCAACACTGAAATATGGAGCAACCCTTGTAACCCATGCCCGCCTCTCCCGTCGTTAAAACCCCAAAGTTTTTCGCCATCTTCGGCGCCACGTCCGCCCGCACCTCAATTACAATGCGGCCTACCGGAGACCCGTTCACGTCGATGTTAAAAAAATAAAGCGGACATACGTTCGATGGATTCTTGATTATTTGCGGCGAATGGATGCTGTGGACGATCATATTGTTTTCGGGATAAACGGCGTTCTTTGGCGACGTGAGCAGCAAATGGGGAGGTCCGTGTGGCGGAATGTAATTGGGCGGCAACTGGGGTACCACCGAGTTATGGTTGTGATAGTCGACGTTTCCATTTACGACCTGTTTTGAAACGACGTGGCGCGAATAGAGTTGCGAGAGACAGTAATTGGCCAGGAAAAGGATAGGGTTCTGTTGATTGAGGGGAAGGACTCGGTTATGTGCTGCAGGATACTCGCCGCAATGGATGTTCCCGACTGCCTGCTTCAGCAATTGAAAATCGAGCACCACCGTCGAGTTGCGAATAAGGTCGTCCAATTGGCACTGCAGGTACATCTCTTGGAAACGCGCTTGCAATCGCTGTTTTTCGATATTCAGCGACGAGCATAATTGCTGCATATCCCCCAGATTCTCTGCAACCGACAGGTTCATACGGGCCTTTGAGAGGAAGTCTCTCGTCTCACTCAATTCGACGTGCGAGTTACTGTTGGTCAAATCGGCTTCGACGTGTGTCTTCAATGTGACACACGCCTCGAGAATTTTAAGAAGGAACTCGCGCTGCTGTGCCGCCAGCCTCTGGATTTCCGCCAGCATCTTGTTCATGGACACCAGGTCCATTTGTACTTCCCCCACGAGTTGCTCTTTCGCTTCCGATTGCGATTTGATCTGATGGTTGACATGATCGTTGGTGGATGAGGCACACGCGCGACACAGTGCCGCACAGCACGTGTGACACCACAGCGCTAACGGCATAGCGTGCGTGTGGCAGTTCTCCGATATGACTTTGGGCAGTTTATCGGGCGGTTTCGCACCCAACTTGAGTTGCGCGAAGTTTTTTGTGAGATGGAGCACGGGCGTGTAGGTGGGTAGCGATTCGGGACCCATCTCACCCACCTCGGTTCGTTTCCAACAGTGGACACAGAACAACTCGCCCTGACCCTTAACGAGGGACGTGCGCATACACTGTAAGCAGAAGTAATGCTTACACGATAGCATCTTTGGACTTTGGTCTGTTTCATTGAACTTCTGCTTACAGTAACTGCACAGGGTTAGTTCTTCGAAGTCTGGATTAGCGTTTTCCATTTCTGCAACAATACAAAATGCAGTTGATGTGGTATTTTGTATTACCAAGAACCAACTAGCCAGACCCATAAGCATGTCCCCCTGGAGGGGTTGCCGTACTTTCTTCCCGATTTTACCATACCCCCATCGAATGTGCGATGAGTTTTCCTGATTTCAGAGACGAAAGCGTAACATAAACTCCCAAGTAAGAAATCGCATTTACTATTTACTAGAAAGTATTTTAACATCTTCCAAAATAAACCATGCGGGAGATAGTAAAATAATTTTCTAATAAGGAGTAAATGCGATGTTAATACGTATTCGTCCCTGAAATCACAGAAAAGCATCGTACTTTCGGTGGGGTTATGGTATATGCTGTGCCACTTAAAAATTGTAATTAAAGTACTACTAGTGTTCATATTTATATTTAGTGCATTTGTTGAAAGAAATTGAGGGTGCATTTAAATGACATATGAAGCATTCCCAAAAGGGAAACTTGCTAGCAAAAAAAAACACTGACTCATAAAATAGTAATTCCAGAGAACAATCCTAAAGATTGTACAATGCCTCTGTTGTCATCATTAGAGTAAGATATATGCGATCGTTGTACAAAATTGGGCGGTTTAAGGAATTTTTGGGGGCTTGTCGATATCCGTGACAAAGCTGAACGTACTCCGGAAAATTGAAATCGATAACATTTTATTCGCTCCTTGTTTAAAAGCGTTACTGCAATTATTATTAGTAAGTGGAACGTCTGTGGTGTGCAGTATTTTTGTTCCTGTATTTTTCTTCAAAACACGCTAATGCTAAACCGCGATAGACCAAAATGACCAATGGGCGTTTGTTTTTCATATTTTTATGATATAAATATATTTCAGTCTTTGATATTCAACTTCCGTCAAAAATATTGCGTTCGTTTTATAATAAGGATATAATTTTAAAAACTGACGATCCAGCTTTGCTGCTTTATATCACTTCTTCAAATAATTATTTCATCTAACTTTAACCGATATCCCCCCAAAAATGCAATCCTGATTATGGTCTTGTTTAAATGAGAAATTTAGGTAAACATTCGAATAGGTAATAACATTATTATACAGAAGTAACAGATCAAATTTTGTGTTTGGAACTGTACGTAACCGTAGGCTACTGTAGAATTCCTTCGCCCATTGCATTAGAGGCAAAGCTACAGGTGTAATGTTTGTGTAACGTGCTACATTCGTAAAATGAAATGTTGTCCTAAATGCTAACGCACCGTTATTGTTTTTTTGCCACATGCTACTTTTTATATTTTCCTGTTGCATATTTTAAGACATCGATAAGTTTTCAGCAAATTTGCATGCTTATTGCGATTGAAATAAAAAAGGCACCAATCTCAATTTTGGTAAATCATTAAAAATCAATACATAACGGGGATAAGCATGATTATCTCTAATGTTACAATCAATAGTTTATAAAATTAGTTTTGCAAATCATGAACAAGGACCTTTTCATAAGTTATAAATGGTACCTGGTACCTGGTACCAAAATAATTAAAAATCAGTTTCCCCAACTTATCAAATATGTATAATTAGAAATTAATATTTTAAAAGCCGTACCTATAAGCATCACCTTCGCTTATTGCAACCTTAAGAAACAGTTTTCAAAATATTCTCAAAGATTATACATAACTTGGACAATGACAAGAAACAAAAACATATACGATCACTTAATCGTTCAAAGCCTCCTGCTAAGAATATTTGGTTATTTAGGAATTATAGGAAGCAAACTAATGGGAATAATTACCATTGAATAGGTACAAGTGTTGCTTGAATTAATAATCGATTTCGCTTTTGGTCTGTAGGTACCACAAATAGGTACTTGTTACCTTTACCAAAAATGTTTACATTAATCATTCAGGATAGCAAACAGATTTATTATTAGAACTCTTAAGGAAATATTCAAATTATATTGATACTTTCTAGGAATTTAGTAAAATTTGTAAGTTAGAATAATATATATCGTGCACGAAAAGTGTTTAAACGGTTGAGAGATGCTTATCCGTTATATTCCCGCCAAGACTCGAATTATGGAGTAATATAAATGTAGGTAATCGACAAGTGGGTAAGCGGCAGACGTATTGTTTAGCCTGTGAGTAACTAATGACCAGCTGATAACTCCACCAAAATAAATTAAGCCATTTATCTGCAAGATAACTTACAAATGCCCCTAAACCTGTAGAAAATCTGAGCTTACCGTTTTATTTACGTTGTGACACAGCCTTAATATATCCTACAAGCAAACGTTACGTTGGTCGTTAAAACTTCGATTTTCGGCAACGGTTTCTCGGTTTTGTACTATGTGACGGTTTTGACGAATGCGGTTTACGAAAAATTAACTAATTAAGGGTTATATTACATAATTAACGGGTGCCGACACAATCGGCAGGCGAATTTACGAAAAACTTAAAATTATTGTGGCCGCCACTACGATGTGCCACATCATGTTGACGACTGTTCGTAAAACACTTGCGCGAAGTTCACTGAATAATCGACGCGCTGCGTAACAACAAACCAAACGCCACGGCCTACTTCGACTTTCACTTGCGCGGTAAATTCAAACTACCTCCGCACGGCGCATATTGCTCTTCACACTTAAAATCGTTACACAAATGTACCTAAATTCTTCATATTATCTAATAATTATACTGAACTCTACTTCTTTAGCTAGCAAATGTAAATTTCGCTTTTAACTCAACTGTTTGCTTCATTTCCATTACAAAACTTGTTGACTTTTTGTAACAGAAATCGATATTTATTTTTAGTATAATTATTGATTTTGTTGTACAGTTAATTTATTTTTTATTTTAATAAGACATGCACCATGACCTTAAGGACGAACTGGTTTTTTAAATGTACTTCTGTTTAGCTTTTTTTCGTAGTTGTACTCTTTTTAATAAACTTTTTGCTACTGTTGTTTTTAGTTAGAATTATTTATTTGTTGATTTGATTATATTATTTCTAAATGTTTATTTTCAGGAAAAGGATTCTTATGGCAATGAAGTGCCCCGCTTGGCAAGACCTTTGCCAATAGAATATTTATTAGTGGACGTTCCAACATCAACGCCTTTGACTCCACAATATAGTTTTAGTATTCCTGATAATACGAAGCAGCCCTTCCCTGTAGAAAATCGTTTGGTTGATGGTCAAATCCAGGACTTCAGCGTTCTGTCTCACTATCTATCTCAATTCACACCCAACGATTTCCTCACAGCTATAAGCGATTTCCACGTGCTGGTGTACATTGCAACGATGGACATGCTACCAATGCGGGACTACATGGATCCTCTCCTGGAGGCAGTTAAAAACAAAGATCCCAACGCAGTTAGAGAATGGTCTAGGTCTGAACACTGGGCTACTGTTGAAGAACTCATTGCTGCTAGCAATACTACACCACCGAACTCTAGGTAATCAATTGATTTACCATTAAATGGCACCAGTGTACATATAATTATTTTCTCCATAGGCCTGGTAGTGTAGATGGTGCAACTTCTCCGTCGTCTCGAGGTAGCCAATGGACATGTCCATTCTGTACCTTTTTGAATCCATCTCAAGTAAACAACTGTGAAATGTGTAATTTACCAAGAAATATGCCTCAATGAGGTAAGTGTTACAAATTGTCAACGTTGGTTTCCAAATTTTGCGTTTATTTTTATTTTTTCTTTTTCATCTTATGATAGACTTAAGTTAGGTAAGGTATTTATAAAATTATAAGTAACATGGAATAAGGCATTTAGAAAATTTCGTTATTATCGTGAAATTTGTTTCAGATTTTTGTAGATAAAACTAGTTATTGTGATTAAGAGAAGAAGAGAAAGAAACTGCTGGAATTTTATATTTAAAAAAAATTTGAATAATAAAATACTTAGTTGCTAGTGTTTATGAGAACTTTATACTAAAAAATTTGTACACGTGCTCCTTTAGTAAAGACAGGCATTAAACCATTGTATTTTTCTCACATACACAAGTGTAGTTTTACATTGACAGACATCTACTATTTTTTTTTCTGCAGTTGTTTAAATCGAGGGGTATTTAGTATACATACATAAATACATTGCCTAATTTCGTTTGTAAAATTTGGAAGCTCGGCAATCGTATTAAAATGGACTGCTGACACACCAACTGCCTTCTTGCGCTTTGTTTTTGATTATTGTTTATTTCTTCTAACTTATGTGTATGGTGGTTTAACCAAATAAATATTTTTAAAAATCATATTCGTCGTTACGCATTCCGTACCAAAAAAGGTAAAAAAGTACCCAAACTTCTGGATGTATGTTAATTTTCATTAGAAAAGGATCTAAAGTGCTACATATAGTCGATATTCATATAAAGGGCTCTGCTTGAATATGCTACACTCTTTCGTTTTAATTAAAGAAAAAGCTATTTTTGTTACACAAATAGAAATTTTTATTTTATTCCCTTTTTTGATTTACAAAATGAATTTTTTACAAAAAACAGTAATAGTAATAATCGAAATATACAGCTAAATGTATTATTTACAAAGCATCATCATGTGTCTAGAAACAAACGTAATCTCATCTATTATAAAGATATTTGTCATATACCACGTTCTTTTCTTTTGTTAAAAAATTAAAAGGAAAAAAGGTCAAAATCTGTAAATGTGCAAACTGCATTCAGTACATTGCAATCACATCGAGTCACAAATACATAGGTCTTGCTAGTTTTCTTCTTGCTAAATTTCCTAGCTCTTCTACAACCTACATAAATATAATAAGTAGTTCTATATATATTCTAAACAATAATCAATTAATTCTATTATATCAATTAAGTAGGTAACAAGCAAAAAAAATGCTTCATTACTACCCAAACAAGGGCCGATTTTTTAAGAGATATTTATTGGCCCCCATAAATAATTCAGTTTTTACATATTTTTATCTATTGTTAAAAAAACAGCATATTATTTCTATAATATGAGTGATAAGAACAACTTTTTTGTCATTTGGAAGAAGAAAATGCCTCTTACATGTATGTTATAATATAATACCTTAACAATTATGTGCCTCAATATACTATACAATATTTGTTTGAATAAACTATTACAATAACTGAAACGATAAGAGAAAATTATGAATACGTTATAACTTTTAAAAAATTGTGCTTTTATACTTCAGAAATTATATTATTAGACTTTCTCACATTTTTCACATTTTTTTACTCGTAGCAATATTGATGTTCTTAAGACAACTTTGGGATCTTTCAATGATTACTTAAGTCTTAAGCAAATGTAGGTGGAATCGACTCGAATTTTTCTTATTATTAGGGTAATTGGTAAATACTTTTTTTTTTTCATTAAAGACACCAGTTATGATAAAATAAAAATATCTTTTAGATTGTTATACATATTCACAAGCTAAATAATTAATATATAATTTTAATACACATATTCAAGCACCTTTATTCTTAACTGTCATATTTAGGAATATCGTTAACTAACTGTGGCAAATTTTTTACTCTAGTGGTGGGGGGAGACAAATTAACTGTGCTTGCATAATACTCGAGTGACTCCTTAAAATAAAGCTCCATTTTCCTTCTTTTCTTAGCCTTCATTTAAATGATAAAATTACAATACTATTAAATGTACAATACTTATTTACATATTTTTGCGTTTTTATTTAACTTTTATTCGTTTTTTTTTTAAGTTTTGGCAGTTTTAAAAATTAAAATATAGCCGTAGTACATTTCTACCTACTGTGATAGCAATAAAATATGATAATAAAAGCCCTTAAGACCTAAATACAATTACTGTTGCATCCATCCACTTTCATATACCTTCAAAATCACATTTGCAACGCATAAAGTATGTATATAAATAACAGAGGTTCGATTTAATTAATTTAATTACCTTGATGCTGCTGTATTTTTTATGACTACTTTTTATTTAATTAATAATAATCTATCTTGAATAAATAAAAAATAATCTCTTCACATACTCTCACTAAAACGTGTATAAGAATGACCGTTCCGCACATATAATAATATCGGTATTTGTTGTGATAATCCCGAGGGAATAAAAAAGTGTAGTTTTCTTCATCGTCGCTGTTATCATCATCGTTGTTATAATTCATTCCAGTCTCTCAATCCGACTTTTGCGTTAACGGGGGGTACTCTTGATCGTCATTAAACTGGAAGCCATCTTTTGGAGGAGACTCCACTGCTGTCGCCATTTCTCTAAGTTTATCTGAATCTAACGTCGAAAATAATCATTTAATTTCATTCCTTTTCAATTCTCAATATTATCATAAAATGAAAGCAATGTGTTAATGAATAATATATATGGTATTAATTAAGTATTCATTATAAACATATATGTATAGGCCAAAAATAATTATTAATATCATACACACATTCCAAATGATGTAATAGCGCTTTCTTTTAACATTTGAACCATTCCACATTTATTTTGGATATGTTTATACTGAACGCCAATGATACAATGTGAAAATTAATCTTAAAATAATTATGAAAGAACTACTAAAACCTAAAACTAACAGAATTTAAACCCTTCTAGAAAGGATATATTCTGTTTAAAGTATCTTGTTTACCAATCACTTCCTGCAAAACCCGCTAATAAATAAATAAAAAAAGTATTACAGAAATCGAACAATAATATTGTGTCAAATAATAAAAACTGTTTCTGTTCAAAAGACTACAAAAGGTAATCTGTTATTATTTTAAAGAGGAAAGAATGTAAAAGTATTGTCTTAATAATACTATTAAATATCAAATATTAAACTGAATAAACATTTTATAAACAAATATAATACTAAAAAGTGAAGCAATCTAAATTAGCAGCACACAAAAACATATTTTGTTAGTTACATAATGTATATATAGAAAAATTACCACTACAACAGAAAAGGATAGAGTACTATCACATTAAGGGAAAGTTAGACGTTTAGTTTGATTTTTTTTCTTAATAGAATAAAAAGTAGCTTCCACATTTCAAAAAAGGGAAAAAATATTGAAACGAATTTACTAATCACATGTCAATAGTAGAAATTAAAATGTGGTAGGATATAACACATAAGAAGCAGAATATAATAAAGGCCACTGGGCGCTATAAATGCTGAAATGGTCCCCCAAGATACGTCACTCATATTTTTATATTAAACGGGCACTACAAAAACATTACTTGAAATCTCTTGATATGTACAGAATTGGAGAATTTTAATGGCCCCTGTTTGTCCTTAAAACATGAGAGAATTATCCTGCGGGGACTGATGTTACTACTCTTGTTTCCCTTAGGAGTTTTCATTCGAAAAATCACAGAAAAAGAAGAAATCAGTAAAGACCTTTCTATTTATAATTTGAAAAGCGATTTCAGTTAAATGATCAATTTGCGTTTTGTTTTTTTAATGAGGCAGCGGATTTTAATATGTGAAACATTATTATTATACTGACCAGTACCTGACATGATGCCTGGCGAGTTGCCTTTCAGGATACCGGCGTAGCTACTTAGTAACGGCGAGCCTTGCAGGGAACAGAAAAAAACAAAATGGATGCGGGTCATAGCTTGCTACAAGGTTTAGGTTAGATAATGTATGTCATCATAATGTGACGACCATTATACAAGTCGGGTCACTTTAGTTTCCATTGTTATAATTAGAGAAACACGAACTTCAGATCTTTCCTTTTTTGTATAACTCTAATGCAACTCAAAAATCAAATCGAAAAACACAACTTTATGCTGAAAAACTATTTTTTTTTTAAATTGCAAAAAAAATATTGATGTTCTACATTAACCATTGGTCAGCTTTGCCATGCGTTATGTTAGTCACACTTTTATTTATTTATTTATTCATAAAAAAGCCAAACGAAAGCATATGAATCAATTTAAACAATTGAAAGCAAAAGCTCTAAAATAAATGTGCTTTTCTTTAATAAAATATACTCACCAAATATAACTACTGCTTCCTATTTTTATGTTGATCAGATTCTAAGTTCAAAAATCAAAGAAAATATTATTAACATCTTCTTTTACTTTCGCCATAAAATAGTAAGTTAAATTACCCTTATGAAAAATTTAAACCCATAATAGCAAACGTAAACTTTACTAAAACAAGGCAAAGCTGACAAATGTTTTATAGCCAAAATGATAATAACGAAATTTATCAATTTCATACTTATGTAAACGTAAAAAAATTAATTCGAATACGCAAAAGTTAATGATAAAATTTGGGATAGAAAAAAAAATCAAAATTGGAAACCGTGGAAATTCAAAAATAAGGGATAAAGGTAATGTTTGGCATATTTAAGCAGAAGACCATTAATATAATCATCTCCTTTATTATGCCAAATTTTTGTTGCAAGACCTCAAATCAAAAGTCAAATACAACATTGATTGATATGTTTGTGTAACTGAATTAAATATTATATAAACTGACGTCAAAAATGTAGTAGTGTAGTTATTATAAGTTTGTAAAACAAATTTTCCACTGTTAAGATGAAAATTTGTTTGTCAAATTTATAAATCCTTCAATTTTCTTGATACAACACAATAAGCTTACAGGATACGATAATGCATCGCTTAAGGCAAGTTTTTCTCTCTTTAAAATTAATAAAAATAGCAAGAAACTTTTAAATCAAAGAAAAAGAAGACACCTTTCTTTAATTTAAAATTAATTCACCTTTACCTGAAAAAAAATAAAAAAAGTAACGGAATATAAATTAACTGAAACATCAAAATTGTTCCCTTAAAACTCTAAAAAAAACTTGCCTTTGACTAAAAAGGAAAATAAAATGCATTTGCATTAAAAACAATTATAGTAATAAAATTAATTAATATCAATTGCCATTAACTTTTCCATTATTATTTATACCGTTTGTAATGTCTGTCAGTCTTTACCTCCGTCAGGATTGTCAATAGGCTGAGGTTCAGAACGACCAGATCCCAGTCCTCCCCCGTCTACCTGGGAACGACCCCTCTGACTATCCTCGCTCCTACCATCCAACCTATGCTGTATGAGCAAAGTCAGATCTCCCCCTTCCTTCTCGTCAATGTTGTACACATACAAAAATCCATCTTCTGACGCCACCAATAAACGTAACTGATTTTGAATTCTGTATAAAAAAAGTTGCAATGATGTGAAAAAGAGAAACAATAAAAGAATGTAAATATACATACAAAGTAGAAATCTTCCCGAAGTGAGTTAGTTATAATATGAAATATTCTCAATTTTTACCCACTACACACTACCTCAAATTAATGAGGAAACATTGTTGCTGTTGTCACACCCCCGCCGGGAATCGAACCAGGGCTCTTTGGCTTTACGCGCCCATGCTCTGACCAATAAGCTACGAGAGAAGAGCCCGGGTTCGATTCCCGGCGGGGGTGTGACAACAGCAACAATTTTTCCTCATTAATTTGAGGTAGTGTGTAGTGGGTAAAAATTGAGAATATTTCATATTAATAAAAGAATGATAAATTAAGTACTCACGTTGTGATAGCTATGGTGTTTCTGACGTCAGAAAACGGTAGGTGGGCAGTAGCAAAAGCCCTACCCTGATTAAACACGTCAGTAACCTGTGAAGGTAGATAATTTGTTAGATAGCCCATCCAGCTGCTTTCCTCCACACTACGACGAGGGCTGAAAATATGAAAATATCTAAACACATTCAACTATTTCCAAATGTATTTTACCACTTCACTACAAAAATTAACTGTAAGTGGTATTTTTGGAATGATTTTCAAAATTCCCCTAAGAGTGTAAATGGGAAATGGTGTAATAACATGTCTTGTGAATGACGCAGTTTGTAATTTGTACAATTAATGTAGGTCCCCAAGTGTCTTACCTGCTACTGGGTTCTTCAAGCTTAAATACGTGCACGGTCTCAGTGTTGCTGCTGCACGCCAGATATTGAGAGCACATACTAAATGCAAGACATGATATGGCAACGCAACGTTTCATTCCTCGGCGGAACTCGAATAACTTGGTACCATCGGTCACCGAGAACACCCTTATGACTGTCCCCTTTTCGGATGCAGTCGCTATACGTGTCCCATTGGGACTGAATGCGATTGCAGCCAAGGGACTGTCATGCGCCGGAATCATTGTCTTCGCATTCTACAGAAAAACGGGTCATAAGGCATAAAACAATCTGTTTGCTCATCCTGTACACGTTTGGCATGCCATCTAGTATACTTACCAAATTAATTACATCAAATATTTGGACTTCCCCTATAGTAGACGAGCCAGGATATGCCAAATAACAATTGTCATCGTTTATACTGAGTGCACAGAGACCTTGGGGATTTGGAGGAGTTTCTCGAATTGTGTGCAACACTTTCATGTCCCTTATATTGTGAATGTGCAAGCTTTCCTCTAAACAAACTACCAGCCGAGCTCTGGAAATTTGATTTCATTTTGGAATAATTGGAAATTCTACTTTGCATCTTGCGTACCTGTTTAATTTAACAGCTAGGATGGTATTAGAGTATGAATAATTACATATTTCTGTGCCCTTTTTAAAGTGGCACACTTTGAGTTTGCGGGGCGTGGCAAGAGACACCACTGCGACGAGGCTGCTTCCAAACAGCCGCTCCACCAAATAAGTGTCTTTGGTTCCATTGCTATAAATCTGTTCGAGCGAATTAACTCCGCTCAAAGAATAAAGCCTGTAACCTGACTTACTTCCAACCGCTAGCGATCTATAATGGAAGAAATGAGTCAAAACCCCAAATTTGTTTAAATTTGCAACAAAAATAATTTATTTGAGTTTACTGTGTATCTACGGCTTTGAAAAACGGCGTGAGTGAGTTGTAAACTACTTTCCTAGCTATTCTGCTGTCATCCATGGAATTCTTCTCTTCCAAACGTTTGGCTCCCCTTCGGTAACGTCATCTTCAGTGGTGACTTACGATTAGTTTGGGAGGCGAAACGTTTAAGAGAAGAACTGCATGGATCACAAGAACATGTCCCAAGAAAAAGTTAGTAATTTTAGACTTCATTAGTAATTGAATACAATGATCCACCCTGTATATTCTGATTCATGCAGAGCCTTACATCAAATGTTTTATTCAAAACGATACATCAAAGTGGAACAAACAGTAACGTCTTTTGTTTGGACTAATTAGACAACAGAAGATTTAATTATATCTTTTATTAACGGTTAATAACTATCGTTATCACATCATTATTTTTATTAAATGAGCGAATAAATTCTGAAATAAATATATCTGATACAAATATACTTCAATATAATTATTTTAATATCAAACAACCCCTTTTAATATTATAATACCTATAAAAACAATCCAACTTTTAAAAAATTTATTAAACAATTCCTTCTAATGCTATATACCCATATATTTATCAAAAGTGCTAATAATAAGATAATGTATTAAGTATAGAATAAAAGTTTAAGACAATATTTAAATTTTAGCTTACAAATAATTGGTATTTAGCAGATTCTTTAATTGTACACCCTGTATATTTATACATTGTATAAAGTACAAGTATCAAATTTTTACTTTATTTGTTTTTAACCGTACACAAGCTTCACACCCACGAAAAATTAGATGATCTAATGTTAAACGTTAAATTTTTGTAATTTGAAAGCAAACGACCTTGCAAACAACTTCTGTCGAATTAAAAAATAAAAATTGTATCAGCTGTTTGAAGTTTGTTTATTTGAAACCCCAACAATTCAGTAGACATACGTTAAAATAAGATGCTGACAAATTTTAAACGGTAAATGAACTAAAAATTAGAAGATAATCTAGCGT